CTGGGGGGGGATTTGGGGAGAAAAAGCAGGAAAAAAAAAATTCCTCCCCATCCAGTGCTCTTCGATGCGTCCTGAAGTCCGAAGTCCGGGGTAACTTCTTTAAGCCCGGACAATATCCATTAGCATTTCTTATAGTGCATTTCTGCTGGTGACCAATTCTCTTAGTTTTCTTTTATCTGAAAATACCTATATGCACTGGTTACAGAATTCCGGGGCTGCCAGTCTTCTCTCGGCGTTTTAGAAATGTTGTTTCGCTGCCTTCTGGCCTCCATCACTTCTGATGATGCATCCGGGACCATCTGAATCATAGTTCCCTGTTTGTAATGCGCTGGTTTCGCCAGGCTGCTTTCAAGATTTCCTCGTTTTTGGTCTTCATATTGACCACGATATGTCTACACACAGATCTTTTCGTATTTCTCCTGTTTGGGATACACAGAGCTTTTCTTTTTTTTTCTCTTCTTCTCCCCAAACCCCCCCGGTACATAGTTGTGTATTTTTAGTTGTGGGTCCTTCTGGTTGTGGCATGTGGGATACCGCCTCAGCGTGGCCTGATGAGCGGTACCATGTCTGTGCCCAGGATCCAAACTGGCGAAACCCTGGGCCGCCAAAGCAGAGCGTGCGAACTTAACCACTCGGCCACAGGGCTGGCCCCATCACTGAGCTTTTCAAGTCTGTAAATTTCTTTCACCCAATTGCAGAAGTTTGCGCCATTATTTACTCAAATATTTTTTCTTCCCCATTCTCTCTCTCCTCTCCTTCTAGGACTCCAATGACATGTACATTAGACCTTTCGATAGTGTCCCACAAGTCCCTGAAGATCTTGTTATTTCAGTGTTTCCGAGGTCAGCCCCGTGGCCGAGTGCTTGGGTTCGCAGGCTCCACTTTGGTGGCCTGGGGTTTCGCCGGTTCGGATCCTGGGCGCGGACATGGCACCGCTCATCAGGCCACGCTGAGGCGGCATCCCACATGCCACAGCTAGAAGGACCCACAACTAAAAATGTGCAACTATGTACTGGGAAGCTTGGGGGAGAAAAAGGAAAAATAAAATCTTAAAAAAAAAAGAAGTTTTTCCTCTTTTTTTAGACTGGATAATTTCTATTAATCTGTCTCCAGTTCATAGAATCTTTTCTCTCTCATCTCCATTCTATTAGGTCTACCAGTGAATTTCTAAGATTGCAGATACCGTATTCTTCCGTCCTAGAACATGCATTTGGTTCTTTAACCCTTGCTAGTTCTCTGCCGAGACCTCACCTGTATTTCCCTTTACCTCAGTGGCAGAGTTGTAGTAACTGCCTTGAAGTCCTTGTCTGCTAATCTCAACACCTGGATTCTCTCGGCCATCTTGTCTCCCCTGGAGAATGGGTCACATGTCCCTGATTCTGTGTATACCAGTTTGGGATTACATGCTGGACATTCTGGATTCTGTTACATTCCTCCAGAGGATGTGACTGTTTTGTTTGAGGGGATGTGTGCAGCTGTGACGATCACACCGCTGCCGCGGGCGGAGCTCAGAGTCAGTTCTCCTCAGCCCTGCTTTGAGCCTGCTCCATCCACTCACCGTCCGGTGGTCAGCAAGGGGCTCGGCTGAATTGATGCGCGTACGCAGCGTTCCCGTCGCCCCAGCTCTCCTTTCCGTAGCCGTGGTTACTCTCAGCTCCGTCCTCTGGTTCCTCCGTCCAGTAAGAGCTGTTTTCCCCGAGTTTTAGCTGCCCGGTGCAGTGCTAGGGGCGCAGTCTGCCCTCAGGCTAAAGCTGTGGGACACACACACACATGAGAACACTCACCCTGTGGTGGGCTCTTCTTGCAACTTTCAACTCCCCTCCAAAGTCCACCTGCTTCAGCGCCTGCCAATAGTTTTATTTATTTATTTTTGTTGCTGGTTTTCCTTTTTTTGTATTTTGTCCAGAAGTTATAGTTATTTGCAGGGAGTGGTTTGTCTGTTAGAAACTTATGGAACTTCTGTATCTTCTTTTTTTTTGTAACAGAACCAAACCTGTCATCTTTTAGGACTGACAGTGGGGAACCCCACTCCACCATTCAAGTTAGATGGGAAGAGGCACAGACCGGGGTCAGTCAGGCCAGGGAAGGTAGCAAAGTCCAAAGGGCTCCTAGGAAAACGAAAGAGGCATCCATCATTCCGTAGGGAAGGCAGACACCTAAGTCATCTCTGTGGCCCTCTCTCCTGGAACCAAGGCGCCAAGCAGTCCTGCAGGTGGCGGAGCGGAGGCTCCAAGGCCCTCAGCTCAACCGCTGCCCCTTGCAAACTGCGCAGCCTCTAGCGAGCCAATCCCAGCCCTGAACCGGCCCCCCTCCGCCACCTGCAAAGAAGCCCACCGTGCAACGGCTGCTTCTGGAAAAGGAAGATTTACTTCTCATTGTTTATATAGCTTTTTCCTTCCTTACGAAATATGACCGTGCATCTTTATAAACCTTTCAGTTCTGTACCACATGCAGGTATGATCTAGCCAATCAACAAAAGAAAGGTAAAATGCGACCACCACACAGCCTTCTGGAAGGGATCGACATCTCAGATGCACTGACGCACTCTGTAACTGGCGTCCGGCTTTGGGGAGTCTTTCCTAAGTGCGCACCAGGGAAACCAGCTCCAAGTCACTCAACAGCAGACTGACTAAATGGCTCATGGTTCATCTGTGGTTCTGGAATTCTATGCACTGGCAGGGATCAACAAGCCAGTGAGAAAAAGCAAGTTGCAGAAAAACAGTTATTTATGACTGCATAATAGCAGCTACATTGAACAATGTCTACCGAAGGAATGTATTCATTCACTGAATTCCCACGTCAGAGGACCGCACTCCTACTACCCCATTGTACCGATGGGGCAACTGGGGACCAAAGGTCACGTAGCTCAGTGGTGGAGCCTGGGCTTGAAGCTGCTAGTCTGAAACGCCTCACTCTCAACGGCTGCCACAGGGGACCCCTGGGAGGCGGATATGAAAGTGGATACATCTAAATATACAAAAAACATCTCGCATTTCTCTCCAAAAGCCTGAGTGTAGCTGTGAAGTCAGCGGCTGCTGCAATGTGGCCAACACGGGGCCGACAGGCCGCACGACGCGGTGGGAGGAGTCTTTTCACTCTTATTGCCCTTCTGGGCCCAGCTGAAGGGCCTCCCTCAGAACCCGGGCCGGACTGATGGCTCTCAGTGGTGACCCCTGGGTCTCAGGACCTTGTGAGGCCCCTTGTCCACACAAGAAGCGGTGACACCAAATGAGTGTCCCCACAGCAGCCTCCCTGTCCCCCCGTTCCACCCCTCACTTGCTGGGTGAGGCTCTTTCCCCTGACGTGGGCACGACAACAGTGTCGAGCCCCTGGGGCTGCTGCTGTGAGGACCCCACCCCTTTATTCTGACCAGCACCGGGCAGCGAGCGGGAGCATACGCTTGCTCTTAGCATTTTTAAACTCTCCTGACTCGTCAACTACAACCGAAGGCTCCGTTTCCGCACCTGAAAAGGGGCACGTGAGGCAAACCTCAGTAGATATACACGTATCTACATCCACCAAATAAAGGCAAGAAACTGACACAACCGGCCTGCACTGCAAAGGGAATCACGGCATGTGGGGCCGTGACGGGACCAAGGGCTTTTGACTGTGTTGTAATTTCTTCCCTTTGCATGTGTTACTTTTTTATTTTCTGAGTAGCACCTGTTTCACTAGAATGTTCTACCTGAGGTTTCAACACATTGAGCACTTCACAGAGTTTGGCTACTACACAAACCAGAGACAACAGCGGTGGAGAACGGGGTGGAGAAAGCCGGCAGCCCCAAAGAAGACAGCCCATTTCCTTTCACGCGGTAACTCCCGCATCCCAACAGTATTTGTTCCCGTCACAGATCAGAGCCTCCTTCTCCAGTGGGCTACCTGTCTCCCGGAGGTACCAGACACAGCAGGATCATCACTGTGCACCTCCTGGAGACGCAGGGAAATCCATTTTTATGATAATACCAACATGCATACAGGAGACTGTGAAATGCAAGGAAACGAGAATAAAGACATTTCTTGCCCGGGGCTGGCAGCTTCCAGTGCCGCCCCCAGATCCCGAGAGGGTCTCTCTGGCTGACTCACTCTCTGCCATTCGAGGCACAGGGGCAGAAAAGTTTGAGACGCTGCCGAGAAGACTGTAATGACAATTTTGCTTTGATCCATTGAGACCCACCTGCTCCCCCTTGTGACCACAGCCCCACATTGCAAAGGAAAGGGTGTAATTAGCTCAAAACTTCAAAGACGTGTGAGATTCCTGCATCGAGAAAACCACTGACCTTGGTGCCCCTGACTGACACTGACGGAGCCCAGAGAGGGGCACCTCCACACACAGCGCCCTCGCCACACCCCAGGGGAGTGGAGGCGGCTGTGAGGGCTGGGGAATTGAGTTCCTCCTCCCAGTGGAGACCAGCGTTGTTCACTGACAGCAGCAGCACTGAAAGAGGAAAGGAGTGGATTTCTTCATTCAGACTGACCAGACCCAAACCTCACATAATTTTACATCAAGGAGAAAGCCAAGCGAGGGGGAGGAAACACGGCTGCCGGGCTGCCAAGTCCAGACCCACCCGGTGTTCCAGCGAAAGCTGGCCCGTACCAGCCGTGGGACTCGGGGCACATGACTTAAGCATCACTTCGCCTTAAAGGAGGTCATCGCCCACTTTGACTCTCCACAGTGCCTAGGACACAGGGCGTGGCAGCAGCAGTATCATCTGTTTTACTCCTTTTCCATTATTATTATATAATTCTTGTCAGAGACCAGCCACTATTTAACTGCACTATTCAACAGACAATTGGAACCAGCAGCTTCCACGCAATCGAGAATTCGAGCCATCTAAGTCCCGCTGCATTCCCAGGGAGCCGGCGGCAGGAACGGCGGCGGGCAGGCGCGCCCTGAGCCACGTTACAGCAGTCAGCACTATTTCTTCAGGTTTAAAAAGGCACCTGGAAGGATCACTCCCTAACGGGGTAGAAGTTTCTCATGTGGAAGAAAAACAAACAAATTCTAAAGCAAATAACTTTATTTCTATCATTCCTTTTCAAAGAGCCAAGAAAATATAGACAATATAAAAAACACCAACAGCTGTGATGCAGGGGGTAAACGAAGGAGCGACGCAGCCCTAAGGCCTCGCCCTGCAGAGCGGTGGGCGCCGCATCAGTGCCGGGGGTCAATCAAACGCAGGCTCCCCGGCCTAGCTCAGCCCCAACAAACCAGAACCCTTTTTCAAACAAAGTTTTCCCACTAATACTCAATTTGCAAGGTCTTGCCTTAATACCCAAGAGGACTTGGTAACATTTCCTCTGTTCCAAAATCCAGGCTGGAACTCAACTAAGCCTAAACCAACACCCCCAGACCAGCACAGCAGATGCCAGCTGTTGTTTTCCAGGATCTCAGACTCTGGAGGAGATGCATTCCGCCTGCCGCGCTTTTTCCTCTAGGGCCCCGTCTGTGCTGGGAACTGGGGTGCCACCAGCGCTCCCTTGGCCCTGGGCCTTAGTCCCCACCTGAAGTCATGCTCCTCGCTGTATGACATCATGCGGGGACTAAGTCCGAGAAGGCGGCAGGGGCTCCTAAGCAACAAGGTGCGCTGGTTCCTGGCAGGCTTCCCCAACAGTACCCCAGAGGGTGGCGACCCCACGGCGGCACCAGGACAGAGAGGCATCCGTGGGGCGTTCAGGGGCTCGCCACTCAGGGGCCGGCAGTCCTGACAGAGCTGGGATGGAGACAGCCAGGCCCTGCGCCCCTTGGTCAGCAGCTGCTGGTACTGGCAAGAGGCACATCGCACGGCCGCCCTGCTTGCAGGACACGGTCTGTACTGGTCCCATGACTTCCTCTCTCCCTTGCCTGGAGATGCCTTCGAGGGGAAGGGGCCGGGGCACAAGTGGGCATGCTGCAGGTCGGCGTCTCCGGGCTGCCAAGTCTCGGGTTCACTTGGGGCCAAGGCACTCCACAATCCCGTTCCCCTTCATGCCATCAAAAAAGAAGAAGTTGTTGTGAGGAGGATCCCTCTGAGACAGGGCCTGGGGAGAAAAACAAGAGAGGGTTCAGCTCAAGTGCTCTAAAAGGGATAAAATGGAGAAAAAAGAAAAAAAACTTCAAAAACCAGATCTCAAAGCAGGCTGGGCAGCGGTTCTCAGGAGAGGTCAATGTTGCTCCCCAGAGCTGACCTGGCTACGTCTGGAGACATTACTGATTATGACCGTCACATCTGTTTCCTCTGTCCCTCACGAGCTGTGTGTCTCTGACAGACCATCACGCCTCTCTGAACCTTACTTTCCGCATGAGAAATAAAAATAACACACGTATTATACCCTAGGCATTAAAAGAGATGATGCACCTCAACTATTGAAAGCGACGGCTAACCCTGAGAGGCAGGGCTCGGCAAACAAGGTGATAATCAGCTACGACTCTCCCACTGAGAACGGCGGTGCCTCGTCCCAGCACATCTCAGGCGGCAGCACCCGCCCCCCAAGGGGACACACCCGGGCACGGAAGTGGCTCGTCCAGGCAGCACCAATGCTGCCTGCCTTCCCCAAGACAGCCAGGGCTGGGGTCCAGAGGGCCCAGGAGCTGCTGCTCAGCCATGGAAACGGTACTATCTTGTGGGGTTAACAGAAGGAACCAGCACTTTTAAAGATGGGGTCGCACTTCCTGAAATTACATGCTGAATCGTGTGTGCACACATGTGTCCTGGGGAGAGGGTTCAAAGGTGTCAATGAGTTTTCTAAGGGGTTCTTAACCCCAAATGGGTTATCCTGTCAAGAGGATGCATCAGCTAAGCAAGCTGCCGGGTGGGCGCACAGCTTCCCGGGAGGGCCGGGCTTGCCACTCACAGGCAGGAGCCCCCGCGCAAGGCCGGGAGCGGGCTCCAAAGCCCCGACTCCCGAACGCAGCAGCAGCCCCAGCCCAGGCCCTCATCTGTAAGGGACCGCGCACGCCCGCTCCAAGTGGTTATTCAGCTGCTCGTCCAAGGAGAGCATCCCGAGCCTGTGCTGGGCCAGGTCTGTGCTAGATGGTCCCGCTTCCCAGGCTTGGAGAAGACAGAGGCTGGCCTCTCTGGGCCCCCACATGAAATGGCAAATAGCACATCCCTGCTAGAGTTGCTGGTGAGAATGAAACGCGATCAAGCTTGTAACGTGCCTGGCACATGGTGAATTCTCAGAAAGTACGAGCTGCTCTCGCTAATGGGGGCCAGGGGTCCTTCACCAGTGTCTGGGGGTCCCAAGCACAGGGGTTCCACAGCTGGAACTCCCAGACCAGAACCCTTGTCACAGGAGATGAGCCTGGTATGGGTGCTGCTGTCACAGTCAGCTCTACCTACCGTGGACAGCGTGAACAGAAAGGAAGGGCAAGTGAAACCTAAGGAAGCACGACCCGACAGGGGATGCCCATGGCACACGTGGTGTCTGGAATGGCACAAGGAAGGAAGCAGAGAAAGGCGATTCCCAGGGGGCAGACTCTGACATGTGACCTCCATCTCCTGGCGTTGACTTGTCGTGGGCGGACAGACGGCCCCTCAGGAGAGGAGCGGGAGGCCTGCGGCCCTCGGACTCGGGGCCATACTGCCAGCTGGCTGAAGGGCGGAACCGTGTTAAGTAACGGGGAGTGGAGGGGAAAAGACAGCAGGGCACGGGGTGAACACGGGGCAAAAGGTAAAGTGCTTCCCAAGCAAGAGGGGGGCAGGAGGAGATTCCAAACACACCCAGCAACCAAGAATGCCGAGTGCTCTGGCCGTCTGGGATAAACAGAAACGGGATGCTGGGCAGCAGCTGTCCCCAGCAGGCGGGAAGGAGGGGCTGCCTTCGAGGCTAGCACTGGGACGCAGAGATCACGGCGCACGACGGCCTCAAGGCCACCTGCCCTGACCCCGTCTCCCTCCTGCAGGAAAGAGCCAGGGAGCAGCTTCTCAATGGGCTGCAGAAGCGAGGCCGAGGGCGCAACGACATGGATGCTGCTCAGGCACAGCGCCTGAGGCACGATGGCCACACGGTGAAGAGCACAGGCCCAGAAACCAGACCGCCTGGGCTCGAAACCTGGCTCTGCCACTTCTCTGCACTCAGCCCCCCTGTAGACAGCAGGGATCACAACAGCTCCTGCCGCGTCAATCATGTGAAGAACACGGCCTTGGTGTGGCACGCGGTGGTCTGAGTAAATGTTATCCATTGTTGTCGTCATTATGGGCGAAAAAAATATGTACGTTCCCATTCCTCCCTTGTCATTTTTCCTTGTCCCTCACTGCACTCCTTCCTGCTGAGTCTGTCTCCAGGCAGCCTCAGGATCCTTCTCAACATGGTCCTCTGGGCAACCACTCCAGCTCCTCAGACTGGCACAGAAGCTCAACAGTTCCTGTCAGTCCGGGCTAAGCAGAAGGCGTGAGCAGGGCACAGGCACGGCCACCACATACTTCTCCTTCTCTCCCCATGTCTCCTCAGTGCCCACCCCACTGCCTATGACACAAAGGTTAGATTCAGACAAAGAATTTGGTCCTGGGGCCGGCCCCGTGGATGAGGGTTTGGTTAAGTTCGTGCGCTCCGCTTCGGCGGCCCAGGGTTTTGCGGGTTTGGATCCTGGGCGCGGACATGGCACCGCTCATCAGGCCATGCTGAGGTGGTGTCCCACATGCCACAACTAGAAGGACCCACAACTGAAAATATATGCGTATGTGCTGGGGAGCTTTGAGGAGAAGAAAAAAAAAAGATTGGCAAAAGATGTTAGCTCAGGTGACAATCTTTAAAAAAAAAGTTTGGTCCAGAGAGAAGGATCAGGAAAGAAGAGAGAAAAAAAGAGCCTTAAGAACACAGTGGGACTATCCAACTGAGCCAAATGTCTCCAGAGCAAATTTACAGACCCCAAGGCAAAGCAGTGGAACTCTGCATCCCCAAAGCACCCTCCTAAGCTTGAACTTGGCATATATGTGGACGTGGGAGATCATTTCGCCGGGCACGACTCCGCTCCGTGAGAGCAAAGGACACGCCATCACTGTAAGTCCACTAAAGCTGCCGAAAGGCAGACGTCTCCGGGCAAATACCAGAGTCCCCAAAGAAAGTAAAATATATTTGGCCATATACTATAGTTTTGTCAACAGAAACCTTCCAGAAGACACTCAAAGGCTGTGCTAGTTACTGGTTACAAGAGCCCAGGTGAAACACCTCCCTTCTGAGGGGAGGTCACAGGCACCCTGTATGGAGCCTCGTGGGGCTCCTGGCATAGGGCACACACTCCACTCCTCTGTAAATACCTGTGGTGTGGGCTTTAACGAGAGGGAGCTCTGACGCCAGGGTCACAGATGGAGAGAAGCCATACAGTCGAGGTTAAGAGCCCAGGTTTTTGGCGTCCCCTCTCTGGAGCTCAGTGTCCTCCCCTTAAATGGGGATCATAACAGTACCCGTCTCACGGAGCCATGAGGAACAATATAGCTGGCAAACATCATCAGCACCAGATACTAATCTGTATAGTGAGGGGACGGCAGATGGCGTCTGAAGGGCACAGTGTCAGCTCTGGGACAGAGTAGGTCCTCAATTTCATTTGCTGAATGCCCACCTGCATGGGCTGGAGAGAATGGGATAGCGAGGGAAAGGGGAGCGCATGAAACCAGGAGGATCGGGGCCAGAGAAACCTGGCAGCTCTCTGAGCCGGTTCTGAGCAATCCATGTTGGCGCCCCCACGAGGTCATGGTGCCGAGGGTCAACTATCGTCTGCTTTGCAGTGACTTTTTACCTTCACAATTTCCTGGGCCAGGATCCCTCCGACCACTGCACACACGGGGGCCATCTCGGAGAAGCAATACCTGAGAGAGAAGACAGCGAAATGGGGTCGTGAGCAACAGCAGGGCTGACAGGACACCTGGCCAGGTCAGGAGTGGGCTGGCCTGCATAAAAACACCTCCCACCAGAGGAGTCAATTCAGACAGCAATGCCAACGTTGGCATCTAGACGTGACAATTAAATCTGATCCAGGGGGTTAGGAGGTGGCTGGGAAAGACCTTTGAACCTCGCCAGGCAGGAACGGTTTCACAACATTTTTTTTTTAAGTTAAAGGAAAGACTATATCTGTGCCTCCTAAAAATAAGGCACTACAAATATCAGATGTTTCAGTGCCCCGGTCACATTCTCGCAATTCCCTCCTGACCCGCAGTGGGCAGTGGGTTCTATATGCTATTCCCAGACAACGTCCGGGCAAAGGCCTGTGTTGACATGCAGGAGGCATGGGAAATCTGCGGCCTGAAATTACAGCACGGGGGCAGAAAAAAGTCTCACTACCCACAGAGATATCAGCCCTTCTGGGCCAGGATGGGGCACCCAGAGGACAAATTTTAGCTAATACTGTCACCTGCCCCCCTCCAAATCACCCATCTTGGGCAGGAAACACTTTCTTCCACCACTCCCCAGAGAAGGGGTGCCCTGCCAGTTCCCAGCCCTGAACACAACGGCGTTTTTTAACTAATAAGCAAACTGGAACAAAGACGAGTACGGGGAAAGCTTGCCCAAGGAGCCCTACCACCAGGAGACCACCTCCAAGCTTCCTAGTGTGGCGCACATCCTTCTAGACATTTTAAAAAGTGCACAAATCTAGGGGCTGGCCCCGTGGCCGAGTGGTTAAGTTCGCGCACTCCGCTGTAGGCGGCCCAGTGTTTCCTTGGTTCGAATCCTGGGCGCGGACATGACACTGCTCATCAAACCACGCTGAGGCAGCGTCCCACATGCCACAACTAGAAGGACCCACAACGAAGAATATATAACTATGTACCGGGGGGCTTTGGGGAGAAAAGGGAAAAAAATAAAATCTAGGAAAAAAAAAAAAAAGTGCACAAATCTAAACATAAATAATTTAAAACCCAAGTAATACCAACTGTTATTCATCCCACTCTATAACCCACTGATGGATTCCTGAGTCATTCGACATTGCGATCACACATCTTGGCATACATAGGCGTCCAAGTAACTCCTCTGGCAAGTCCCTAACTACGGAATCGCTGGGTCCCGAGACACTGGGCCACACTGCCCTCCAGGAAGGCCACATCCGTTTCAGCTCCCACCAACTGTGTGAGGGTACCGTCTCCTCGCCTCTGGCCGGGACCAGCACTGCCACCTGTTCAAGCCCAGAGGGAACTCTTCCTCCTGCTGAAAGGTCCACTGCGGAACTATAAAACACACAGAGAACTCCACCAAAGAAAACTGGTCACCCACAACTCCACTACTCACAGATAATCAAATGAGGGAAGATTCTCCCTTTTTTAAAAAAATACACCTACATTCTGTGTGATCATACTATACGATTTAACATGCTGCTTTTTTCCTCTTATAAGTATATTATCTCAACAAAATGCTAGCAAACCAAACCAACGTATAGAAAAAATTATCCACCATGACTAAGTAGGATTTATGCCAGGAATGACAGGATGGTTTAACATCTGAAAAAAATCAATCAATGTAGGATGCCATATTAAGTGAATAAAGGACAATAAACACACGATCATCTCAACAGACACAGCAAAAGCATGTGACAAAATCCAGCACCTTTTCCTGATAAAAACATTCAACAAACTGGGAATAGAAGGAAATTTCTTAAAGGGCAACTGTGAGAACTCCACAGTTAACATCGTACTTTATGGTGGAAGACCGCCAGCTTTCCCGCTAAGATCAGGAGCAGGACAAAGACGGGTGCTCTCACCGCCTCCAGCCAACACTGCACTGGGGCTCTAGCCAGGGCCATCAAAGAAGGAAAACAAATCAGAGAGATCCACGTTAGAAAAGAAGTAATATATATTCACAGATGACGTGATCAAGTATATAGAAAATACTAAGGAATCTACAGAAAAATTATATGAACTACTAAATTAATTCAGCAAAGCTTAGGATACAAGATTGATAGACAAAAGTCAACTGTATTTCTATACATTATCAAGGAATATTTTGAAAAAGGAAATTAAGAATTCCACTTACAATATCGTCCAAATAAATAAAGTATTTAGGAATAAATTTAGAAATAGATGTCTAAAACTTACACTCTGAAAACTACAAAACACTGTTGAAAGAAATAAAAGACCTAAAAAAATGGAAAGCTAGCTCATGTTCACAGATCAGAAGATTTAATATTAAGATAGCAATACTCCCTAAATCAATCTATATATTTGACACAATCCCTACCAAAATTCCAGATGCCATTTTTGTAGAAACGGAAAAACCCACCCTAAAATTCATATGGGAATGTAAGAGACCCAAAATAGCCAAAACAATCCTTTTTTTCAATTTCTTTTTTTTTGCTGGGAAAGATTCACCCTCAGCTAATATCTGTTGCCAACCTTCCTCTCTTTTTTTCTTTCCCTCCCCAAAGGCCCAGTGCACACTTGTATATTCTAGCTGTAAGCCCTTCTACTTATTCTATGTGAGCCACCACCACAGCATGGCTATTGACAGACAACTGGTGTGGTTCCACACCCGGCAATGAAACCCAGGCTGCTGAGGCAGAGCACATCAAACTTTAACCACTAGGCCTTCAGGGCTGTCTCTAGCCAAAACCATCTTGAAAACGAAGAACAAAGTTGGAGAACTCATATGGCCCAATTTCAAAACTTATTACTAGAAAGCAACAGTAATCAAGACAGTGTGGTACTGGCATAAAAACAGACATACAGATCAATGAAACAGAACCGAGAGTCCAGAAATAACACATACACAGTCGACTTTTTTTTTTTTCCTGAGGAAGATTAGCCCTGAGCTAACATCTGCTGCCAACTCTCCCCTTTTTGTTGAGGAAGACTGGCCCTGAGCTAACAGCCATGCCCATCTTCCTCTATTTTATATGTGGGACGCCTGCCACAGCATAGCTGATGAGCGGTGCCATGTCCGCACCTGGGATCCGAACTGGCGAACTCCAGGCCACTGAAGCAGAATGTGTGCACTTAACCACTGCACCTCAGGGCTGGCTCCTCGACTGATTTTTGACTAAGGTGCCAAGACTACTCAATGGGAAAATAAATAGTCTTTTTAACAAATGGTATTGGAACAACTGGGTTTCTACATGCAAAAGAAATAACCTGGACCCCTACCTCACACCATGTATAAGAGTTAACTCAGAAATGGATCACAGACCTAAATGCACAAGCTGAAACTACAAAACTCTTAGAAGAAAACACAGAGGAATAAATCTTCATGACTTTAGATTGGGCAATGTTTTCTTAGATACCAAAAGCCTATGTGAAAAAAGAAAAACAGACACATTATATTTCCTAAATATTAAAAACCTGTACTTCAAAGGATACCCTCAAGAAAGTGAGGGGCCAGTCCTGGTGGCCTAGTGCTTAAATCCAGCATGCTCCACTTCAGTGGCCCAGGTTCGGTTCTCAGGCACAGACCTACACTGCTCTGTTAGTGGCCATGCTGTGCTAGCAGCCCACATACTAAAAAACAGAGGAAGGTTGGCACAGATATTAGCTCTGGGCAAATCTTCCTCAGCAAAGAAAAAAGAAAGAAAGAAAGTGTGGGGCCACCCCTGTGGCCAAGTGGTTAAGTTCACGTGCTCCACTTCAGCTGCCCAGGGTTTTGTCAGTTCAAATCCTGGGCATGGACATGGCACTGTTCATCAGACCATGCTGCGGCGGCATCCTGCATGCCACAACTAGAAGGACTCACAACTAAAAATACACAACTATGTACCAGGGGGCTTTGGGGAGAAAAAGGAAAAATAAAATCTTACAAAAAAAAAAAAAGAAAGTGAAAAGATAACCCACAGAATGGGAGAAAAGTTTTGCAAATCATGTATCTGATAAAGGACTTACATGCAGAATATACGGAGAACTCTTATGATTTAACAATAAAAAAACAACCCAATTAAAAAAATGGGCAAATGATCCGAGTACACATTTCTCTACAGAACATACACAAATGGCCAGTGAGCACATGAAAAGATGCTCTACATCGTTAGTCATTTGGGAAATACAAATAAAAACCATAATGAGATACAACTCATTACCCACTAAGGCCTAAAACAGACAGACGGTAACACCTGTTGGCAAGGACGTGGAGAAAGTGGAACCCACACAGAGTGCGGTCAGGATGGTAAAGCAGCGTGTCCGCTGTGGAAGACAGTTTCGCAGTTCCCCAAAATGCTAAACACAGAGTTACCATTCGAGCCATCAACTCCACTCTTGGGTATACATATTCGGAGAAATGAACACTTACATTCACACAAAAACACGTGAATGTTTACAGCGGCTTCAGTCAGAACTGCCAAAAACTGAGGACAGCCCAGCGTCCTCATCGGGTGAACACAGGTGGTAATCCATACAGTGGAACACTACTCAGCAAGAACAAGGAAGAGCCATCCGTTCACACCACGTGGATGAACGTCAGCGCAGTAAGCTAACTGAAGGACACCAGGCCCAAAAGACTACGCCTGCTCCATGATTCCACTCACACTACAGTATGGAAAAGTCAGGACCGCGGGACAGGGCACAGGTGGGTGGGGGCAGGTGGGAAGGGCTGACCACAACAAGGCATCAGGAGGGGGTCTGTGGGGCGATGAAACTTCCCTGTATCTGGATGGTGGTGGTGGTTACACAGCCCTACACCTTTGTAAAACTACAGAGAACTCGCAAACAAAAGTCATATAAAGACACATAAGTCACAGAGCTGTGTAACAAAAAAAAAAAATACATTTTATTGTATGTAAATTTTTAAAAATACACTATGAGGAAACAGGAGTGAATTTTGCTATATATGTCTAAATAATAAAAATTAAATAAAAAAACAAGCACTACCTCAAGAAACAGACAAAACCAGAACATGGGATAGTCTACAATACAACTGGAAAAAAGAGAAAAAGGTGGTAAACTGTTCTGGAGCAGGAGTCGGGAAACTTCCTAACAAACCAGACAGTAAATTTCTTTTGGCTTTATGGGCCATATGGTCTCTGTTTCAACTCTTCAAGTCTGCTGTTGGAGAGCTGCAAAAACTCTACGAAAGCTGTCACAGATAATATACGAATGAGTAGGTGTGGAATAAAACTTTATTTACAAAAACAGGTGGCAAGCCAGAGTTTTCCAACTCCTAGATTAAAAGAGACACAGGAGCATATGCAACAGATGAACTCTGAGGCATCCTTAAGCATCACGTCATCATTATGCCCCTCCCCAAAGACAAAAGGCAAAAGATTTACAATTGCACCTAGCTGAGTAGTATTCAGGTGTTCACTACTCTATTACGCTTTCCATTTTTCTATACGTTTGACATTTTTCATAATAAACATCATTTGTAATCTGTGCATAACACTGCACTGTCCTATGTGATTAACTCTTTAATGCCTTTCCAACTTGTCTTTCTTATAAAGGTTGCATCTTTTTCCATCACCCTTGCTAGCAATGAATATTATGAGTATTTTTTAAAAACCTACAAAGGATTTTGCAGATTTTACATATGCTATTGTAGAAAATGTGTAAGAAGATATAATACCAAATGGTCAGTGGTTTTCTCTGGGTAATGGATTTATGAGTGGTTTTCATTTTCATCTTTGAATTTATTCTGCATTATCTGATTTTTCCACAACATACGTACCTTTCTGTAATTTAAAAGCCAGCTAAGTTCACAAAAGGACAAATACTGCATGATTCCACTTATGTGCGATACCTAGAATAATCAAATTCAGAGAAAGAAAGTAGAATGGAACTCACCAGGGGCTGGGGAAAGGCAGCACGGAAGCCAGTGTCTAATGGGTACAGATTCTGAGTTTAGACGAAGATGCAGAGTAGTGAGGGCTGCACAACAACGTGAAGGTACTTAGTGCCACTGAACTGTATGTTTAAGAATCGTCAAAATAGGGGCCAACACTGTGGCCAAGTGGTTAAGTTCACTGCTCCGCTTTGGCGGCCCAGGGTTTCGCCGGTTCGGATCCTGGGCGCAGACATGGCACCGCTCATCAAGCCACGCTGAGGCGGTGTCCTACAAAGCACAACTAGAAGGACCCACAACTAAAAATACACAACTATGTACTAGGGGGCTTTGGGGAGAAAAAGGAAGAATAAAATCTTTAAAAAAAAAAACACCCCAAAACACCCCCCCCCAAGAATGGTTAAAATAGTATATTTTATGTTGTGTATATTTTACCATAAAAAAATTTAACAGTAAAAGTTATATTACATATACAAATTATGAATGTTCACCATACATGTTTATAATAATGAAAAACCATAAACAACTTAAATACCCACCGATAAGGAAATGGTTAATTAAGTAACCATATATCAGACAGTGAAACATTACAAAGTACACGTGAGAATATGGATCTGTATTTTTGACACAAACAGGCCCATGATATGCAGAAAAAAGAAGGTTCTCGTGGGCAGTATGATCTCATTTTGATATTTAAAAAGAGGAAAGAGGAGAAGTGAGTAGATACACAGAGAAGCCCGAGAGGCTGCACCCGAAAGGCCAGCAGCACCGCCTCTCAGTGAGGGACTGTGCGGACGGTCTTCTGCCTCCATGCTCCGTGGCGACAGGCAGGTTACTTCCATCACCAGAACAGCAGTAGCGCTCTCCGCAAAGAGAGGAAGGAACATAGCGAACAGGAGGGCGCGAGCAGAGCCCAGACAGATGAGGGAAAGGGAGACTTGTGCACAGCTGTCCCCACTCAAGTGAGCACACCCTGCGCCGGGCTGGCGGTGGGCAATTTGGGAGGGCAGCTCAGCTGCCAGGCGGCGGCTCATTTCCTTGCTGGCGGCCCCGTCCCATCTCAGGCCTCATCTCCACTATCCACAGACAGGCTTCAAGAGGCCCCAAACCCCTCTCACTTAAAAGGCGATAGCGTGGGAGCAGCTGAGCCCCTGAGGCCCTCGGCACGGGAGAGCGCTTTGCGCAGAGAAACCGGGCGGCAACGAGTCAGGCTGTTAGCAGTCAGGCTGCGGCTTTCTCCTCCTGGGAAGTGGGGCCTCCGCCACCGGCTGGCGACGCAGAGGCAGGCCGTTCATCACTCTAAATGCCCAAATTAGTCACTTGGCTGCATAGCCACGGTCCGGCACTGGCTACGCTTGGCGGCCCGGCCCGCCTGGCCGGGTCTGCTGAAACTGGAGCCCCGCGTGAGCCGGGCACCTCCTGCCGTGAAGCACAGATCAGGCACCACTGGCTTCTCGCACGCTGTCCTTCCTCTACCGAGAGACGTGTGCCTGGTTGTTAGCCCGGGACAGGGACCCTATCCCAGCCTGCAGCGTCATGAGGTCCTGACCCATGGTGCCAGCTGCCTCGTTTTGACCGAGGGCTCAGCAGGTGATTCAAAGCGCACTGCTGCTCCTAAATCAGGGGGTGGGTGGTTGCCAGTAGCTGAACGAGCTTCCCAGCCACAAGTGAAGAAAGATGGCACTGGAGAAGAGAGTCTGATCCACTTTACTGCTGAAAAGCAGCCAGGGCCGTGTGCTGCGCCCGGAGACTGGCACTGGGGCGAGACCTGGGGGAGACCCTGGGTGGCTACCTGCTAAAACCTCACACAAGGGCCTGTATCCTTCGGGGCCTGCTTCTTCATTTCACTGATGGGAAAACAACCACACACACGTCAAGGAGAACTGTGACAATTAAATGGGGCTGTGTAGGTAAAGCAGAGAAATTCTCTAACACACCATGCTACTGTTATTAGCTACGTAACCTTGGACTAGGCACTTAACTTCTCTGCGCTCCAACTTAACTCCTACTCACCTATCAAATGGGTTTTATAGGACCGTGTACATAAAGCAGCCGCCACAGCGCCCGGTACTAATAGCTGCTCCATAAATCACAGCTGTCGTTAGTACTGCCACATGCTGGCGGTGCAGCAGCAGGCCAGGGCGTCCCCCGAAGACACTGAGAGAACGAGCGTGAGCAGGGATCCCAGAACTGCTGGCAAGGGGTTCCTGACCTCCTGAGCATTTGGACTCGCCAATCAAACCCTATACCTGACTGCGGAAAAGAGCAGAAGCCTGGCGGGCTAAGGCGAAAGCATCCAGTGCCCAAGGGCGAGGACGCTGCAACATGGATGCCTTTGCTGCCGACGGGACAGAGTGATAAGCCATCAACGGAGGGGCATGGGGCACTAACTAGGAACGGGAAACCAGTCTTCTGACCCAGCCTCTCCCTTTCCAGAATTTATCCTGCCGTTATAATCTCTACACATATGAAGTGACACACACAAGGTCACACACTACAGCATGATGAGATCATAAAAGCTGGGCCACAACTCGAGGCAGCAGGGGACCACTTCAATAAACTACGCTAGGGGCCGGCCCTGTGGCCTAGTGGTTAGTCCGTGCGCTCTGCCTCAGTGGCCCAGCTTGGCCAGTTCGGGTCCTGGACACAGACCTAGCACCGCTCATCAGGCCACGCTGAGGCGGCATCCCACGTGGCACAAGCAGAGGGCCTACAACTAGAATACACAACTATGCACTGGGGGCTTTGGGAGAAGAAGAAAAAAGCAAGATTGGCAACAGATGTTAGCTCAGGTGCCAATCTTTAAAAAATAAAAAAATAAAAAATAATAACCTACACTGCTTCTGTGCTGGAGCACTAGAGAGCTGCAGAAACGAGGGAGGACACTACTACGTACCGATCTGGAAACATCCCCCAAAACAACGTTAAGTAAAGTGAAAAAGAAAGGTACAGAAGGTATTTTGATTTTACAATGCCTGGAACTGCCCACGGTGCGAATGTCAAACGCTGTGATGAAGAACGGGGCCTGCAGCGCCCGGTCCGCTCAGATGGCGGCCACACCGGCGGACAGGCAGCGGCTGCGGAGCGGCAGGATGCGGGCGGCGGGCTCTCAGGGCTCCTGGGCTGAGCACAGCATCTCCCCAAATTAAGGCAAACACTGGAAGCAGACGTGGATCCATCCAGGCTAAAGCGCGACAAAAACCGAGACCAACCTGACAAAGTCTTCAGGAAGCAGGTCAGGGTTGACGCCCAGGGAGTCGAGCACATCGTTTCGGATCTGCAGCAACAGCTCAGAATCTTCCCCAAAGGTGTCAGAACTAGGATCTCTGCCCTTATCTGTGCGGAACTTCAGGAGCACTGGGAAAGGAAGGAGGAGGCAGGTTAAAAAGCAGGTCTTTCCACAATAAATGCTTCCAGCTGTGGATAATTCAAGTGTTTTCCATTCTATAGAAAGTAGCACCTTAATTAAAACGTGGGCCAAGTGAAAGGTAATACACTTTTCATCTATTCAACAAATACAGTCAGAAAGGCAGTAATTACAAAAATGACTAAAACTACTGGGATGAGTGGCACGAGAGTACCACAGAGGCTCTGACGTCAGCAGTAGGCTGGTGGCAGGTAAGGCTTCCCTGAGGAAGCAACAGCTGAGCGCGGTGTGTGCGAGTTTGCGGGGCACGCAGGGGAGCAGCTTCCAGCAGAGGGAAAAGGCCGTATGGTGACCCAGCGGAGAGGTCAGGAGTGGGAAGCACGCATTCTAGGCATCAGTTCAAAGGGCCGCTCCAGCCAGAAAGGCCAGCCAAATGCCCAGACTCATCAGACAGGCAGGTCATTACAAACAAAACCGCCCTTACTACAGCAATTATGTCAACCTCCAGAAACGGACGTTGAATTTTGGTCGTGGACCAGAGGAAAGGTTCCGATGACGCCAGCGAATCAGAGCTGCTGTGTCACGAGATCCTAACGAGGCTTCAATTTTCAGTCCTAACAAAAGACACAGGCAGGAGCAGGATAAGATCAGCCAAAATACCAGCACCTTCTACCGCCACTACACCCTGTCCACAACGTTCACTGTGAACTGGGTGGGTGGCATTCTTGTGCCCCACCTGCTCCCCGAGGCAGCCGAGCGCACAGCCAGCTTCGGGCCTAGTCTGTGGGCAGGACTCTGCCCCCCCACATCACACAAGCTGTCCCAGAGCAGAAGTAGAGACACACGGACCCCCGGGCACTCGGGGGTAGCTGGCGCCTCACACCCGGAGGGTGCTTTACACTTTACAGAGTGCTTCCGTTTAAGTGTCCTCAGTATCTGCTGGCTGAGAAAGGGAACTCGGTCAGCAAATTATACCCTCTATCAGTACACGTGGCTCTCTGCAAAAGTTAAGGTGGACTGAAACTCAGGCAACTGCCGTGAGGCTCCTCACACCCCCGAGTCTTTGGAACCCACCTCGACTAAGGAGTCAGTGTGATGCTCTTGCTGCCTTTTTTCCCCAGACAATTCTGCTTTTTTTTAGGCTGGCCCTGAGCTAACATGTGTTGCCAGTCTTCTTTTTTTCCTTCTTCTTCTCCCCAAAGCCCCCCAGTACACAGCAGTATGTTCTAGTTCTGGGCCCCTCTGGTTGTGCTCTGTGGGACGGTGCCTCAGCGTGGCCTGATGAGCGGTGCCATGTCCCCGCCCAGGATCCGAACTGGCGAAACCCTGGGCCGCCGAAGCAGAGCGTGCGGACTTAACCACTCGGCCACAGGGCCAGCCCCTCTTGCCTTCTTAAGACTCACAGTTTTGGTGACGAGTAGCCCGGGCTGAGACCCACTCTCCAAGAAGTAGCACGAATTCATTCGTTCGCCAGCATGCCTGAGCACTTCCTGTGTGCCCAGCAGACCTAGGTGCTAAAGGTGCAATGGTGAGCGAGTGGGTCCTGGTCTCTGCACATAGGAAGGTGACAGAGGGAGGAGAAGAATTTAGGAGCCACAACAGATGGTCCCACTGAAGGCCGAGAGAAGTTCATAAACGGCTTATAAAGCATCTCAAGAAGATCCCAAACTGCGGAGGCCCAAGTAAAAGATGACAGAAGCTGCTCTGGGCTATGCTTTTCTCAGCGCCAGTGTCAGAGAAGGGCCCCTGGTCTGTATTTCTCTGGCAACATTCACACGCCCAGTATAGGGCTCTGCACATCAGAGATTTAAAAGACTCCAGAACACCTGTTCTGAATACTGTTTGCTGTCTGGGAACGTTATTCTCCTCGCTTTTTCAAGAACACAGCTCCTGGAACCCTCAATTCTACCTGACCACCTGGCAGCCAACTCAAAGCTGATGACAATCCGGATGCTGCCTGGCACTGATCTGCCATCACCTAAGCTTACCCTCCAACTTCGGAGACACGGTGCTGCAATCACAGTGTGGAGTAAATGAATGCAATCCAGTAGGCAACCGGGGCAGGGTGGAGAAAAGCCTGCGGAAGTGGCAGTTAATCCCTGTTTAGCCCACGCCTTCCTCAACAATGTCCTGGGAAGACAAAGGAATCTGGAACCTGCTAGTCCAGCCAAGACAGCGGCTACTCCAAGCAGACTGTATCGAATGCCAGCGCTATTCCTGCCAATCACCCCTGACAGGACACAAGGAGAGACCAGAACGAGTAGCAGTGTTGCCTGAGCAGACGGAGGCCACGCCAAGCACAGGCCGTTCACGCTGCACAATCCGAGCGGCCGTGGCAACCACGTGGATGCCGAGGCCACCTGGTTTCCCGCCACACTGGACAGCAGCAGGAGCCGCACGCTGGCGGCCTCCTTTGTGATCTTCTCATTTCTGTGTCACTGGGAAAGAAGCTCTGACTGTCACAGGGACAGAGAAGAGAGGATACTTTTTTCAGCCCTCACCACAAAGCTTTTCATCTTTTGGTTAGAAAATATAGCTCTAGAAGCAAAGCTCAGACCCTTATGATAATTGCAAAGCAAACAGGGCCTCCTACATGCCCAGCCTATATTCTAAACTCGTTGTTTTTTGAGGAAGATTAGCCCTGAGCTAACGTCCGCCGCCAACGCTCGTCCTTTTGCCGGGGACTAAACATTTGATGTGCACTGACACCCACCCACAGTCACCTGGTGAGGGGAGGGAGGTGGGTCCCACTAGTCTTCCCACTTCAGGGGTGAGGAAACTGAAGCCAGAGAGATTAAGTGGCTCATTTGATCTAACTGCCAAAAAGCAGTGGAGCAGAAATGCCAGCTCTCGCACTCAGAGTCTGTGCTCCTTAAGCCTATTCAACCCAGGAGAAGGCAGGACCGTGAGGAAGGCAGGACCACGAGGAATGCAGCCCCAAGGGCTCCCAGTGGTCTGGCTCTCGGCCCCGTGCCTCGGGGGACTCGCATTGGACCAGATTTTTGTGAGACGCATTGCCAGATGGGCCCTGCCCTCCCAAGTGGTCTGTTGATCTTAAGTCACTAGTCCAGTGGGTGAGAAGTGTTGGCGGAGGCCATATGAAACCTTGTCCATCAATCTTGAGAGGAAGACCAGTTTTGTCTCGGAAAGAGAGGACGGCACTAAGAGGAGGAGCGAAGCCGCCAGCAGCTGGCCCGCGGTGTCTCTGGGCCCCTTGCCTGCTCCTGGGGCAGCCCGCCTGGACAAGGGCCGGCAGGCTGGCACCGTCCAGATACCTCGCTGACCACATCTGAAGTCCTCTCGGGGCCTCTGGGAAGGGGGCCAGTCAGTTCGGCCACTTATTTGCAGCAAAGCAAACAGAAGCGGTATTTTTCACTCTTCTTCTAATGTCAGCACTCCAGTTAGCAGGGGTGGAGGGGGCGGGAAGAAGCCCGTGTTCTAGACAGGCAGCAGCCTCAGAACTGACCCCAGCCCCTGACGAGCTCTTGCTTATTAAATTCCCCTCTTTGTTCTGCCTTCTGCTCCTCCCAAATAGCCAGACACACACACACATCATTGTTGACTCTGCATTTCTGAGGAGCACCTCCCCGCCAGCTTCCAGATTATAAACTGCTCCGTCAGGATCAAGTACTGTCAGGGACGGAGAGCTGCTCTGCCAAAAGATGACTCACCGAATCGCGGCCACACACTGCACGAAATTAGAGTTCCAAACCGGATTAACTTCAACTGAACCTTTTAATTAACTCAGGTTGCTGAGTCCAGGGGGCTGACATTCATCGCTAGAGATGGCAGGCTAGTACCTCTGCTTAAGTTCAGGACCTGCCCATCTAATGGAAAAGGCAAACTTCGAAAAGGAGAAACCAAGCACCTTTCCATGGATTAGAGGAAAAACTGTGTACATGTGAATATACTACTACCTTTGCAAAAAAAAAAAAAAAAAAAAAAAATTCAAATTCAAGCGTAATCTGAATCAGAACATTCGATTAGCATTATAACAGTAATTTGGAAAGGAATATTATTAATCACTGTATTTCTTTCTACAAACTTCTTATTGCATTTAAATTGTGTGATTTTATTTGGCATAATCACTAAGGCCACTGAAAAAAACCCGATATTTTTATAGAAAAATAATAAAGTCGATGTTGCAAATTAGCCCCGACTCAATTGCAGTCTCTAAAAATAGCTCAATTGAGGGAGGAAAAAAGCCAAACGTATATAAAAACCTCTTCTGCCTGACTGGCGCCTCCAACTTTTCTGTGCCAGACACCCCTGCCCCCCAGTCTCCCCAGCCTGCCCACTCAGCGAAGACTCCTCATCTCCGGGACTGGCCTGGAATCGGCTCCGATCCTGGGGCACATACACCTCAGACGAAAAGCACAGTGATCCTCTGAGCCCAGAGCCCATCTCCTCAGGCCATCGCTAGGTGTGCCGTTCAGTCAAGTGTTCATTCAACAAACGTGCCAGGCCCTGAGCCAGGCAGGGGAGAGCAAAAGGGACACATGGACGCTCTGCCCTCTGAGAGCGTTCAGTGAGGGCGACAGACAAAAATGACACGAGAACAAAAGGTGGGCAGTAGAGAAGGCACTCGAGACAGCACTACGGGGGCGGAATGGGGTCCCCTCACGCAGCCAGGCTCCTCCCCAGCAGATGAGCCACGGCCTCTTCACCAGGCTCCAGCCCTGAACGCCTGACCTCTGACCCTCGCTGCCCTCTCACCCTCGCCCGGTGGCCAGGCTGCTCTTCAGGGCCTGTGGCGTCCTCCCTGTGCAAAGCCCCTCTAGGCCCGGGAGCTCTGGCACCGGCAGGCAGCAGAGTGCAGCAGTGCGGAGCCCTTTTTCCCACTTACTGTGACCTTGGGCAAGTGACCACATCCCTGAGCCTCCCCTGTACAATGGGAATCCTCAGAGCACGTACCGTCCAGGGTTTCAGGACTGAAACGACTCATACATGTAAAGCACCCAAGACAGTGCCAGGAACAGCGTCAGAACTT